ACAGTAGAGAAACCGCATAATTCTTCAATATGGAAAATATTTGTCCATACTTCAGAAAAGCACAAGACAAACATAGAATAAAAATGTGAGTATATATCCCTTTACTCTGAACCAGTATATCATGATCAGTTTAGTTATAACTGTTTTTAAATAGTCTTATCTTCGGCGATTGACATACATGTGAGCACGGCGTAAGTCCAAGGAAAAATAATTTATTTTAAAACATCTTGGTACAAAGTATCGAATATAATGGTCAATACTATATGTGTTTATTTATTAAAATTATTATTGTTGAACTTCCCCGGAACATTATATTTGAACCAACGAGGGAGACTCTACTAGCTAGAACTTTTGGCAGTGTACTCTGCAGGACAGAGAAATGCGTGATTGAGAGTGAAAGTTTATAGAATCTAAAATCACTGAGAAGTTCTTCTTTTAACTTAACTACTATTTTAGGAGTGAGGCTATGGAACATTTAATGTGTTGCGAGGAACGGATTGGTCCTTGTGACGTACCACTGTGCACCTTCCATGGTAACTCCAAGGAAATGGAGGTGCACGCTAAAAATTCTTTGGCCCACCACAACCTCTTGCTGGTCAAAGCGCACGAAGAGTTATTGTACCAAATAAAGTTTAAGGTAATTAGTTTGTAAYTTCGTTTGCTATTTTCTTCACACCACTGAGGTTACGGCTTCAACGCGAGTATATTTTCATAATTTAGCACAGGTCGCCCAAGCTCTGTATCTGGTAAGATAGTATAAGAGAACGTAAATCGAAAACATAATAAAGATTCAATGCAATCGTCTATATCATTTTCAACCATTCCTTTTCTATCCGATAGAAGCGAATTGGTCAAGGATTGAGCGAGTTATATAGACTTTTCAAAATGAACGCTTTCCCCTGCCACTAAATAATTGGCCTCATAAAAATTGATATTCAGAATAACCTCTAAATACATCTTTTTCCGGTCTTTCAGCCAGCGGATGCTGGAAAGCGATATGTGCCTATACCATGTGGTATGTGGTCCACCTGCTGGACCATTGACAACTTGGCTCTGCATATGAGACGCTCTAAATGCGTTTCACTACGGAGTCCATTATTTGAGTCCATTATTTTTGAAATTAAAATGTCCAAGCCTTGTACGTTATGTAAGTAAGTCTATCCATGGTAAAACGGTACCATTAATTCGCGACAGTATTTTTGAGTATTACTTTTTCTTTATTCATCAATTTAAATAAAGATACCATTGTGTTACAATTAATTATTTTTACAGAACATGGCTCGCTTTCTACAAAGTAAAAATATTCATTGAGTGAAAGCTATTCGGTTTTTAACTCTTACATTATGCATAACTATAAGTATGAAGCGGCCGGACAAAGAAGAAATACTGCCAGTTTAGAAATTGCAAAAACATTTGAGAATTAAAGCGATAATTATTTCAAGCGTGAGTGGAACAGCTTAATTATCCTCGCAGGATCCTTCAAAACATTTATGTTGCTAGCTGTTATCTATACTTTTTATTCTTGGAAACAAGTACCACTAGAACCGCAACTACGCTTCGCTCATGTGAAACTGCGATATACACTCTATTGAATGTTTACTTATTTATGTAGCCGCAATCAAAACTGCGCGAAGGTGACAGTATTTCTTATTTGTTTCTCGGCGTATTGGTAAAATAAAAAATGATAATTGTTATAAGTCAAACAGAAACAGTTGCAGTTGTAATGAACTTTAAAGATATCGATGAAAATAAATTAACTA